CTACTAGGAACAAGTGCATCGCTACTAGGAGCAAGGACGCTACTAGGAGCTAAGGCCTTACTACTAGTAGCAAGAAGCTACTAGTAAAAAGGGCATCGCTACTAGGAACAAGTGCATCGCTACTAGGAGCAAGGACGCTACTAGGGGCTGCTGGCCTTACTACTAGTAGCAAGAAGCTACTAGGAACAAGGGCATCGCTACTAGTTACTAGTTACTCCTCTCTGCAGCTTCGTTGCCGTGCTGGCGTCATGCATGTTTCTTACAGCACCTGAGTTGCTTGCCAATGGAATGATCCGCTGTTGTTACTAGTAGCTTCTTGCTACTAGTAGCAATGCCCTTGCTACTAGTAGCGATGCCCTTGTTACTAGTAGCTTCTTAATGTGCCACTGGAATGGAATGATCCGCTGTTGTAGCTTCTTATATCCGTCACATCCAATTTGAGGCCTCTGAAGCACAGCATGAGCTCCGTACAGCAAGGCGGCAACTGAAACTGTTTAACTTCGAACCTGCAATGAACCGACCTGTTTAAATGAGAATACACAAACCAATGGTATGCTTGCCATTCTTTCTGAGAGATTCATGCAAAACATTAAAAAAAAAAACTACATGGATCGCTCAACCATCCTACACCTTGTCCACTACGTCCATTGCCCTTCTGACGTTAGTGAAACACACTGGATAGATCACAACTCATTGAACATGTATAAGGCATGTGATTTTGGCACTTCAAAAGCAAGGTTGGTTGTCAATATCAAGATGCAAACGTGTGCGAACTTGTGCTGGCGAGCCACAGGAGCCAAATGAGAAAAGGCGTTCGCGAATGTTATTATTGCTGTGGACTGCTGTGAGCATCATGACAAAAGAAGTCCATTTTAAAAACATCAAAAGGACAACAAAATATGTCATGCATTCTGTTCAGGAAAGGAAAAGAAAATGGACCTAAAGCAAGAACACAAAAGGGAGGAAATGAGAACATGTTCAAACATGGCCTCCAACCCAGTAGCGATGGCCTCCAACCTTAAGTTTCCCTAAAAATCTAGGAACATCTAGGAACCAAGTCACTAGTGCGAGCGCTATCCTGCATCCAAGGTAGTAGCTACTTGCAGGTAGTAGCTACCTCAGTTCCGACTAGCTACTTCCTAACTGTACTAGTGGCCTACTAGCGCACTGTTACTACTAGCTTCTTGTTACTAGTAGTAAGGCACTTGTTACTAGAAGCGATGCACTTGTTACTACTAGCTTCTTGTTACTTCCACTTCCCAAAAAAAGAATTAGCGCACCTTGCCCAAGGCCAGGGGCTCCGAGAGATCCACTGCCTTCACTTCACCACCTCCGCACGGAAGATCCTGCACGTTGCAACACCGAAACCATCGGTGACCGCACTGTATCCCATTGGTGTCCGTTGCTGGCCCGTTGTTCCTAGTAGCGTCCTTGCTCCTAGTTGCGCTTCTCCTTACTTCATGGGGTGTCACTAATGTGTCACTTGCAGAAACTACAGCCATGCCGCCAACTACGCCCAACGCTCACCTTTACACAAGGAGCCAATCATATAAGCGGCAGGTGACTCATTGGCCTTACTACTAGGGGCTCCTGGCCTTACTACTAGGAGCAAGGACGCTACTAGGAGCAAGGACGCTAAGGCTCCTTGTCTAGAAAGTCTGAAGTACTCTTCTAATTTATATATTGTTTCTACTAGCTTCTTGTTACTACTAGTAAGGCACTTGTTACTAGAAGCGATGCACTTGTTACTAGTAGCTTCTTGTTACTAGTAGCTTCTTGTTACTAGTAGCCTTTTGTGTTGTCTAGAAAGTCTGAAGTTCGTGCGCTTCACGAGGGCTTCTGTCAGTGAGCATCATCAACGGTTGTGTCAATTCTAGTGTCTTGGGAACAACCATAAATAGGTTTCAGTTGCTACTTGCACTTTGCTCAGGCGTTGAGTTTTCAGACTCGCAACAGCAGTGTTTTTCCAGACTACTTGTAAGCGTGTTGTCAGATCTGACAAGTACACACTTGAAGAGCATGGAAGAATGCAAATGTCGGCCATGCACATAGCATGAAACGTGACAGTCAGTCAGCCTTCTCAACTCTCAATTTTGTCATGTGGGGTTCACACGTTGGCATAAAGGGACATCACTGCCATAGTCCTCCAGATGGCCAGGATGGCCACACGGCTCAAAGGCCTGGCATTGTGGCAAACTATTCAGAGCAACCGCAAGAGGCCTCCAACCTACTAGCGATGGCCTCCAACCTAGTAGCGTCCTTGCTCCTAGTAGCGATGCCCGATGCTGGCCCGTTGCTCCTAGTAGCGATGCCCTTTGCTCCTAGTAGCGTCCTTGCTCCTAGTAGTAAGGCCAGGAGCCCCTAGTAGCGTCCTTGCTCCTAGTAGCAAAGTTCACATCTTCCTTTGATTTCATTTGCCGTTTGACATGGTGCCTCTGAAGGCTGAAAAACGAAGAGGACGATCAAGACCTGAGGTAGATCGGAACAAACGGTTTGCACGTAGCGTGGTTTACACGTAGGGTGGATAACATGTTTGGCTGTGCTGAACACACGCGAACACAAAAATGAAAACGTGCGAGAAAAGGTGCAGAACGGTTGAAAAGTCACTTCAAAAGGATGCTAAAGCAAATCTCAGGCACGATTGTCCAAGCGACAATTACCACTGATCCAGCCTAGGTCTGGAAGGATGCATTGAGGACAAGCACTTGAACATATTTCCATTTTATGGCGCAGCAAATCAAGCCAAAACGGAGACGCTGCGTAAACTTTCAAAGACCCCTAACAACAAAATGTGTTTTTGCCAGCGGCTCGGTGATCGGAATTCCAAACGCCTTGCACAAGGCCTCCTTGATTCACAGCTGGCTGTTCTGCTCAATGTTCCACAGCTGGGTGTCGAACAGCTGTGAACCTTAAGCCGCTCAAATTCTTGCAGCACGTCAGGCTGCCCGCCACACCAAACCTCCAAGAGCAAAGAAGTAACGTGACCCCTCAGTTCTATGTCAGTGGCTCTAGCAAACAAAAACAAAAGGAATGCCATCTTTCAACACTCCTGGAAAGGTGTTTGGCGTTCGGTCTGATACTTTCACAAATTATCGATTAGCTATAAGGCCTTAGGGAGTTACAAGGCCTTCTTACTACTCGCGATGGCCTCCAACGTAAATGCGATGGCCTCCAACCTACTAGCGATGGTCCACCCTAATAGCGATGGCCTCCGAAACTGAAGGTGCCACTGAGATGATCTGAGGCTCCGGCCAGGAGCCCCTAATAGCTCCTTGCTCCTAGTAGCGATGCCAGGAGCCCATAGTAGCGTCCTTGCTCCTAGTAGTAAGGCCAGGAGCCCCTAGTAGCTTCTTGTTGCTAGGCTCCCAAACGCAAACAAGATCACCTCCCAACGATGCAATTGTCGAAGGCCGAAGAAGCTGAGAGCCTCAAGCAACAAGAGCGCTTTCGCTTTCTTCATGTCACAACATAAGTGGCCCACAATGGAAAGCATTCCAACTTGTTCGAACTGAGAAAAACAAATGGTTTCCTTCCCACATAATCCAAGCTGCTGGAGGCGCCAAGTCGCCTACAATAATCAAGTACGACGTGGCAACTCCAAAGCATTTGATCATGACGGCACTATCCTCGGCTCATGTGAGGCAAGTGACGTTTGTGTTTGTGCCATGCACATTGGAATGTTCCTATGTTACTCGTCCTACTTCATAGCTACTAGGCTACTAGCCTTATTTAAGCAAGTAGGCGCCTACATAATTAAGTAAGGTAGCTATTAAGTAGGACGCTACTAGCTACGGGGCACAGGATAGCTCACGTTTCTTCATGTGGGGAAAAATCACGTGCTTCTTCTTGAGCTTCCATAGCCCCTGGCCCGCATCCGCCAGCATTGTAAAGCAAAGCACAGGCGACAAAGGCTTTTTAGAGTAAGCAATAGTGTGAGTTTGCATGTGGCAAACCAAGCCACTTGACAGTATGGATGTTTCATATGTTTCATGTGTGTGGCCGTCACGGCCCGAATGTCCCATGTTTCCACCACTAGCGGTGGGTGATCGATCCTCGACGCCAATGGCCCCGTGAAAAGGGCGCGACTTCGTGCGCCGCCCGACAGTTCGAGTTCGAGAACTTCGTGAGTTTCGAGCTTCCACTCGGTCCCTTGCTCTCCGCAACCAGTGTCCGAGTGACATTGGTAGCGGAGCTACCTCGCTCCGGGTAGCTCCCTGCCGATCTCCGCAAAACTACATCATTTCCACCTTCAAAGCCCACTTCACCTTCCACGGAAACTGCACCCACAACCTTGTCATCTTCTTCACGCTCAGGAGCAGTGCTCACACCAGAGCTCTTTGACCTTGCTGAGCTCTACCGCACTTGCTCTCACCAGAGCTCTTTGTCCTGGAAGAGCCCTACTTCTCTTGCTGGCAAACCGAGCTCTTTGACCCTGACGAGCTCTATAGCACTTGTGGTGACACCTCCTTCAGCCTGAAGTATGGCTTCTACCACGACCACTGAAAAGAAGGTCGAGTTCGACAACCACTCGGCCCGGGATAGTTTCATCCCGCTCTTCGATGGATCCCTAACGGGATACCGCGAATGGCGGAAAAGAATCTTGATCTACTACAGGAAAATGTCCTTGTCAAAACGGCAGGGCGAAGCGATCTTGAACCTGCTGGGCAGCCTCTCAGGTACTGCATGGAAGTTGTGCGAAGATTTCAACCTGGACAAGGCAGAAGACCCAGAAGCTCTTCAAGAGATCTTGAAGATCCTGGACGGCTCCTTCCAGTACGACGCCAATGTCGAGATGCCTGCCGACTTCTCGTCCTACTTTGAGCATTTGGCTCGCAAGCCAGGTCAGACCTTGTTGAACTATGTGACGGATCACGACGACCGGCTGAAGCTAATCGAGAAGCATGGTGTTCGACTACCCAGTCAAATCCAAGGGTGGTTCCTCCTGGCTAAGGCCGCCCTGACACGTGAGCAAAAGCAGATGATCATGACACAGGCCGCCTCACTTGAACGAGCCAAGATTCAGCAAGCAATGTTTGCCATCCTCGGCCAAGACTACAAAGGTGGCGGTCAACTCCTCAGAGACCGCTGGAATCGTGCTGGGTCCGGCAAAGGTCGTTCATACTTTGCTGGTGATGACTCCGAAGCCTTCTTCGAATGGGATGACAATGCCCCGACCTATGAGGAGGAAGATGATGCATACTACATGGACGATGAAGAGAACTACGATGACCTGTGGTGGGAGTCCTTCGACGCTGACGCCGCCTACTACCAGGAAGAACCTGATGAGCACGAGCATGAGTTCGACACCGAAGAGTACGATGAAGCTTATGCCTCATACATTGATGCTCGCAAACGCTTCAATGACTTGAAGCTCAGCAGAGGATTCCTTCCTGTGGTAGCTCTCCAGGACTCTGGCCCTTCATCAAGTTCCACCTCCTCGCAAAAGCCTTTCAAAGGCATGGGAAAAGGGAAGAAAGGAAAAGGCAAAGGAAAGGGAAAGAGCAGCACTTATCGCTACGAC